TTGTTGAACTATGATTTGTTTTGCTTTGTCGTATTTTGTTTTGAACTGTTCAATTTGAATGATGCGTATCATATGATCGATGTGCATGAATTGTATGTATTTGATGATGCATTTGAGGTGTGTGCATGTGCAACAGCCCAAGTGAAGGGCCGTCCTGTCTATGGATGCCCAGAAACGCACACGGACGTACAGGGCGGCGGAGGCTGTACATGCTATAAGAGCAATATCCCACCCTTATTATGTGCTAATTGACACTTTACGAGTCATGGGTAAGATACTACACTTCTATTGCATAGGACAGCTGTTTACATATACATGTCTTTGAAGACATGATTCAAGTACGTGGAAATGGACCACACAAAGAGGGAAAAAAGGTGGGGAAACCTCATGATCACAATCACCGTGATATTTTTATCTTACAAGTTGAGGTCATTCATCATGAACCTGAAAACCTCAGGTAAAGATACTGTGAACCAGCAGCGGCACAAGTCCATATTATAAAGAGGTGGTTTCACCTATTGGCGTGTTGATGTCGAAGACACGTCCAAATTGAATTGAACCGTTCTTGCGCGCACGCATGCAACGTATGCCCGTGACCGTGAGACTGGTCAGGACCCAGGAGCGTGCCAACTTTCCTCAGTCTTGGTAGCAATTGAAATGGTCTTGAATTCGCTTCTAAGCTTCAACAACTCTTCGCTTACAAGCGAGGATGGTTCGACGATGAAGCTGGCTTTGGACACCGGTCCGTGTCATCAGGCCCAGGAGGGGACCATGCGTGTTGCCGTTGACTCCGTATGGAAAGACATTTTTTTTGTTGCCTCGAGGAGTTTCCCGAATGGATAATTCACGAGGCTACCTGGTCGCATTTCATTTTTGCACAAGTATCTTCATCGATGGTAGATACACTCTTGAAAGAGTCAGCTTTCAGCAGCATGCATTTAACATGGAACCAAATGGCAACGTAACTAGATGACGGAGAAGTAGGGAACTTCTTCCGCAACAAGCGTGGACTGCGTCAGGGGATCCAGCCTCGCCATTGCTGTTTAACTTTGTAGTGGACGTCTTGGGCGCCATGCTCGACAGAGCTCGTTTGGCTGGCCACATCAGGGAAGTGGTGGATAACCTGATCCCGGAGGGAGTGTCACACCTGCAATACGCGGATGACACACTCCTCCTTTTCGAGCCCGACACATACAGCATCGCATCGGTCAAGGCCATTCCGTTGTGTTTTGAACTCATGTCGGGGCTTAAAATCAACTTCCACAAGTGTGAAGTGGTGTTCATAGGAATGGACGCGACCGAAAGTCAGCGGGTAGCTAACTTGCTTAACTGCAAACTTGGCCAGTTTCCGTTCACTTACCTCGGCCTCCCGATCGCGGCGAAGAAATGTTCGATCGCCGATTGGGAACCTCTCACCTCCAAGGTAGCAGGCAGGGTGTGTCCGTGGAGAGGTAGATTTATGTCTTCAGGGGCTAGACTAATTTTAACCAACTCCAGCCTCTCATCCTTACCTATGTTCGCCATGGGTTTGTTCTTGCTGGCGGATGGGGTACACACTAAGTTGGATACCCCGCGGTCCCGTTTCTTTTGGGAAGGAGCGGGACCCAAACGGAAATACCATATGGTCAAATGACAGGCCGTTTGTAGACCTAAAGCCCGGGGGGCCTTGGGATCATCAACTCCAAGCCGATGAATATTGCACTCATGTGCAAATGGATCTGGAAGATGTCTCAGGGTGAGACTGGCCTCTTCCGTGCGAAATACTTCCCGAACGGGAATTTCTTCGAGGCGGCCTCTCGTGGGTCCCCCTTCTGGAACTCCATTCAAGCCCTAAAACCCTTCTTCGCCAGGGGCGCGAAGTTTAGGGTTAACAACGGGCGCTCCACGCGGTTTTGGCTAGACCTTTGGATTGGCCACCAATCCCTATGGTCGGAGTTTCGCCAACTCTACTCCATTGCAGTCGAGCCCAACCAACTAGTTGCTTCGGCTCTTAGCTCCTCCCCACCCTACATCAACTTCAGAAGAGAATTATCAGGGACGGAAATGGCGGAGTGGGACCGCCTTCGGGATTTGATCGCGGATGTTCGCCTGTCGGACTCCGCGGACACGGTCTCTTGGAGACTTTCGGGCTCTGGCAAATTCTCTGTCAATTCCTTATACAGAGAGCTTACCCGCGGCCAGGTCCCTTCGGCTGCCATGGGGCTTTGGAAGGCTAAAATCCCTCTCAAGATCAAGGTCCTCCTCTGGCAACTATGCCAAGATCGCCTTCCTACCTCTACCAACCTTGCTAAGCGCAACGGCCCCGCCTCCGGCCCTTGTGCTTTGTGTGGGGTTCCGGAAGATGCTGACCACGCTTTCTTCCGGTGCTCTTTGGCGCGCTTTGCTTGGAGCGCGGTCCGTGAGGCCGCGGGGGTGGATTGGGATCCCCGCTCCCGAGCCGCGCTAGTGTCTTCTTTGTCATTGGTTTATGGTCCGGCTCGTCGGGTCATGTGGACGTGTGCGGCGGCCATGTTATGGGCTATCTGACATATTCGTAACAAGTTTACTATTGAGGACGTATTTCCCTCGCATCCGCTGACATTATCTTCAAATCCATCGTTTGCTTGCAGCAATGGGCACTGCCGGGCAGACAACAGGACTCTGATCTTCATCGCCAAGCTCTTTGCCGTCTTCGCTTAGTTTACGCCGAGTCCCGCGCTCCGTCGTCCGCGCCATCTGCTGTCGCATAGGGATGGGCAGCCCCTTTTGATTGTAGTTTCAACCGAGCCTGCGCGCTCGTTTCGCTAGGCCGGACGTGCCTTGTAACGTACTTTATTCCTTCCCCGGTTGCTGTTTCCAAGACCTGCTCGTCTTATATTTGGTGCCGTGGGTTGGTCATGCAGTTGTTATATGCTGCCTATGTTGTGGGCTTTATTAATTTAAAGCCGGACGTCCCTGGCGTCTATGTTCTAAAAAAACGTAACTGGACGTGGTCGCGTTTGTTTATCCGCTCATTAGTTTGTGTTGGAAGGATCGTTGGTTCAGATTAGTAGTAGTGGCATGTCCATACTCTTTACATCCACTGCACATAAAATACTCCGACGACCGTAGTAGACGACGAGCTCTGACGACGGACGATGCTCATGCTCCCTTCCCTTGAGGTCGCGCGCTGCTGCATGCATTTGGCCGCGTCCGGGTCTCCGATGAGCCCGATACAGATGCGTATGCCGGCTCGTCCATCGCGTGAAAACGACCGGGATCCATTTGGATTTCCGCGATTTCATCGATGCTTCGCCGAGTGGAAGAAAATCCGTCACTTCGGCAGGCTCCTTCCGCGGTACGCTGTTCGCCGGCCAGGGGGTGGGTCCAGAGCGGCCGGACGGTGCAGATCGAGGCCCTCTGCCTCTGGTGTGATCTCTGTCACGCGTTCAGTCGTCGCAGTACTAGTCGTCCTAGAAGAATTGTGGCTTCAGGTCCACAGCCACAGCCACAGACAGCTCACTTGACCTGTCTGCCCCACACAAGGTCAACTCGAGTGGCGTTGCGGTGGTGGTGCCATCTGAGATCTCTCGGTCGCGATAAAACGGAAAAAACCCGGGCCGATCCCAGCGTGCACGACGGCCGGAGGAGCTCTGCTCGTGCCGTGGCCGTGCGGCCCCAGATTGACCTCGCCGATCTACACGACCCCGGAAAACGAAAGAAACCAACCCAAATCAGGCCACGGCTCCGCTCCGTCATGGCCTGACCTCTTCTTCTCCTTCGAAACCTTCCCGCAGTCCACGGAGCTCCCGGGCCCACACGTCAGACACCGGCGGCACCGTGCACCGGGTCCATCGGCGCGCGTCGTGGTCGTGGCGCATAGACGGCCCGGCCGTTCGTTCTTAAACCCCCGCCCCCCCTTCCTTCCTCCTCGTTCGCCTCGCCGCTCAAAAACGAACGGAAGGAAATCCCAAATCCCGTTACAGGAGCGGCAGCGGAGGAAGAAAAAAGGAAAGAAAAATACCGTTGCCCTCCCGTTCCGTTCCGCTCGGCACTCGGCACTCGTAAAACCCAGGCCCCGAGGGAGAGGCATGGGAGAGGAGACCCTCGTGCAGGCCATGCCGCTCGCGCCCCACCGCCACCACCACCACGTCCACCCCGCCGCCCCGGATCCGGCCGGCGTCGAACGTCGAGACGACCATCCGGCGGCGCACGCTCCGCGGACCCGGACCGGGATCGCCGCGGCAGGGGACGCGAGCGAGGAGGAGGACGTGTACTACGCGCGCAAGATGCTGCAGGGCGTGGTGCTCCGCCCGCCGTCGCACCTCCCGCAGCCGGAGGCGCCGCCTGGGCTTACGAGGGTGGTCTCCACGCCGGCGCCGAACGGGCGCGCGGAGGTGGAGGAAGGGCAGAGGCACGTCGTCGAGCGGTCCAACTCCGCCGCGGCCGTGGTGGACGTGGCGTCCATCGGGCGCTTCTTCCGCGACCGGCGCGACGTGCTGTCCTCGGCCATCAACCGCCGCATCTCGTCGCTCAAGGAGGCGCCGGCCCCGGCGCCGGGGGACGCCTGCTACGGCGTGCAGGAGATCCACCTGCCCAACGTGAAGGTCACCGTCCGCCTCAAGGAGGCCATCGCCGCCGACGCGGAGGAGGACGACGGCTACGGCCACTCCTTCTCGGGCAGCCACATCAAGGGCCGGGTCAGCTTCTTCTCCCGCTCCGGCTGCCGCGACTGCGCCGCCGTGCGCGCCTTCTTCCGCCAGTCGGGCCTGCCCTACGTGGAGATCAACCTGGACGTGTTCCCGGAGCGCGAGGCCGACCTCGCGTCCCGGGCCGGCGCCGCCGCGCGCGTGCCCCAGATCTTCCTCAACGAGAAGCTCCTGGGCGGGCTCGTCGTGCTCAACTCCCTCCGCAACAGCGGCGAGTTCGAGCGGCGCGTGCGCGAGGTCGCCGGGAGGCGGTGCCCCGACGCGGCGCCGCGGGTGCCCGTGTACGGGTTCGACACCGACGCCGGCGAGGAGGGGGAGGAGAGGGAGGACGCCATGGTGGGCATCGCGAGGGTGCTCCGGCACCGGCTGCCCATACAGGACCGGTTCGTGAGGGTGAAGCTCGTGAAGAACTGCTTCTCCGGCGCCGACATGGTCGACGGCATCGTGAACCACTTGGAGTGCAGCAGGAACAAGGTGAGTTGCACTAGATTATTACTGCCTGCCTCGATTCTGTTTCGTTTGACTTTTTTATTTTAAATCTTGATGGTTGTTTATCGTTGCATGAATGGTGATGGTGGTAGTCTTGGATTAAACGTGTTGGGTGTGAATAGTAGTTTAGATCGTAGTATCATTTTCTCACAGAATTAACTTGATGATGGTGCGCATTAAGCTGCACCTCGAGTTATTTATGAAAATTGGACAAATATTAGACAGTGAATATGCATGGAGTTTAAATGAAGCAAAATCAAGTTGGTCATGTGGAGCATGGGTTTTCTGATCAAATTACTTGACTACTTAAATTCTGTTTAGAATCCAGCCATGCTAGTTAGCATTGTCAATACTGAGTACATTTAAGTCATGCTCAATTAATTCAGTAAAACCGAATGCTTGGCTGTCATGCACTGCTGAAATGCCGAACTTTAGAAATTCAAATACGATGCTGTCTAAATCATCGTATTTGAAGGCAGCGATCATACCGAGGAACGTATCGGTGAAAACGAGGTGCCCGGAAGCAACCGCTGTCCAGGATAGGATAGGATCACGCGCGCCGTGCCGTGCCGTGCCGGGCCGGCCCGCCTGCTCTCCTTCGGTTTCCCGCGCCGCAACGGGTGAGCGGAGCACAACGGAACGGGGCAAGCAGCCGCTCCCCACCACCGGCTGGCTCGGTTCGCTGGCACCCAATCGAGACCGGCGCGGCGTGAGTACGTATGCACCCGTTTGACCATGTTGATCCGGATAGTAATTGAACAGGTCGTGCGTGCTCGACCGCACTGGTCGTGTGATTCTGTGCCGACCACGTCGCTGACCATCACAGGACACACAGACACCCTTCTCTCTCTCTCGGTGCAATCTTCGTGAGCAGAGTCCCTGATTGGCCCTGCGTGCTGGAAGATGTGATAAGATTTTGGTCGGGTTGGAAAAATTAGGGTGATTGGATTAGTGGGGTGGACGACCGCGCGTGATAGATCCACTGCTACTACGTTCTTGGTGCTTAAGCACCGACCCATCATACTATGGTCTAGTGCATGCATGCGTATGATCGGCACGTCCCCCCTACTTTGACTTGTAACCAGTGTTGCCGTCTCTGTCCCTGGCTCCCTGCCCTTGGCCTTTGTCTATTTCGTGTTTTCTGTTGCGAATTTGACTTGACTTGAAATGACAGGACTGTGGAGGTCGATCAATCAATAAACCAGCTTAATTTCCTCCTCGATCGATCAATTAAGTAAGACAATAATAACCCCTTTTTGTTACTTGTATATAGGCTGTGGAGATCGGCAAAGAACTCGCGAGGAAGCACTTCATCCACCACGTCTTCAGGTCAGCGCGCAATGCATCACTCTGGATTTTACTTTCATTCCAGTAAAGTTTTGTTCATCAATGAATGAACGTTGAGTGGATATGCGTGCAGGGAGAACGACTTCGAGGATGGCGCCCAGAGCCTGTACCGCTTCCTGGAGCACGACCCGGCCGTCCCCAGGTACTACAACTTCAGGGGCTCCACCAACGACGGCGAGCCCAAGCCCGCCGCCGCCGTCGGCCAGAGGATGGCCAAGATCATGGTCGCCATACTCGAGGCCTACGCCTCCGAGGACCGCCGCCGCGTCGACTACGCCCGCGTCGCCGCCAGCGAGGAGTTCCGGAGGTACGCCAACCTGGCGCGGGACCTGCAGCGGGCGGACGTCTTCGCCCTGCCCGCCGGGGAGCGCCTCTCCTTCTTCCTCAACCTGCACAACGCCATGGCCATCCACGCCGTCATCAGGACCGGCCAGCCGGCGGGCGCGGGCGCCGTCGACCGCCGCTCCTTCTTCACCGACTTCCAGTACGTCGTCGGCGGGTACCCCTACTCCCTCACGACCATCAAGAACGGCATCCTCCGCGGCAACCGCAGGCAGCCCTACACCATCGTCAAGCCGTTCGGCGCCTCCGATAAGAGGCTCGAGGTACATGTCTGGAACACCGTAGGAATGGGATCGACGCATGCTCTCCGCTCGCGCTGGGATCTTTATTTTACTATGGCTGTGCAGCTGGCGGAGACGAAGGTGAACCCGCTGGTGCACTTCGCGCTGTGCAACGCGACGCGGTCGAGCCCCACCGTGCGGTTCTACTCCACGCAGGGCGTGGAGCCGGAGCTCCGGCACGCGGCCAGGGAGTTCCTCCTCGACGGCGGCGTGGAGATCGACCTCGAGACCCGGACCGTCCACCTCACCAGGATCATCAAATGGTACTGAGAGCTTGCAGCTAGCTGCTACTCTGTTGTTTGTTCCCAACCCATTCCCATGTGGGTGGGCTGATGCATGTTTCAAGTTCATGGAGAGTTGGTGCTGACCGGCGATTGCTTCGTGCTGTGCAGGTACAGCGCCGATTTCGGGCAGGACAGGGACATCCTCAGGTGGATCTTCAACTACCTGGACCCGACCAAAGCCGGGCTCCTGACGCATCTCCTGAACGACGGCGGACCCATCAGCATCGCCTACCAGGACTACGACTGGTCCTTGAACGCCTGAACCCAATTCTGTTTCTGTCTCGACTCTGCGCATACGGCGACGGTACCTGGAGCTAGCAGTAGCAGTGCCGTGGGCTTTTCTCTTTGGATATTGGCAAATGGTCGATGGAAGAGAATTAGAGATCAACCACGCGTCGAGCTTATTACTAGCGATTATACGAGTACTTAGCAAGATGGAAGTCTGAAGGTGTACATATATATAGTACGATTCTGTGAGCCTCTTGGGTGGTTTCCTGCCCGCAGGGACAAGTTGTCTTGGCCTCTTGGGGAGGGCAATGCACTATGTTGATCACATCGCTTTTTCGCAGCGAAGATGTTAGATACAGCAAGTACTCATTTTGTAGTAGCTTCACCGTTGTGTATTAGAGCGTCTCTTTCTTTTTTGGAAAATGATCCAGATCTATTTCGAAGTTTAGTGAAAGTATAAAGCATTTCAAACATAATAAAATCGAAATGGCTAAATCACATCTAAATGTTTAAGGATGTGGCATCTAAGTTATTAACCACGGATCTATCCTGCTATAATTTTCGTGCAGTATTGATTTGCGTCCCGCCCGCGCGTCCCCGTGGCTGGCACACGTCGCTCTCGCTGTTGCTGGATACTAGTTGCTCTTTTTTGTTTGTCCGGCCGCTCGTTGCACGGGATTTTTTTTTAAAGAATACAGGAGTAGAAACGCTCCTGGAGCTAATTACAATCGAAGTGAACTCCACCCGAACTGTGCCGATCGTTACATGTTCCTTCTCATTCCTATGTCTTAGGGCTGGCTTGTTTTTCGTTTTTTTCTGGAACACTGTTCCCATACATTCCACATCTAAACCTCTGAATCACTCTGTAGGATTACCGGCCAAAACACGAAATGAAAAGAGCCGCCCCCTCCTTTGGCACTCCCGCGGGCGGCAGGGGAGGCAAACCCTACCACCACCGCCGCTGGGGTCCCCTCCTCCCTCCCCCGTGGCCGCCAAAGGGCGTGGCCGGGCGAAGCCTCGCCGGCGACGGCGGGGATTCCACGTCTCCTCGCACCGGGAGCCTTGGCGCGGGCCGAGGCTGCCTCGCCTGGGTGCCGTGCTCCGCATCGGGCGCGGCAGCGTGACGACGGCCCGGTGCAGGTGGCGTCGGGGCTCAGGGGCGGACCCAGGAAAAAACTTGAGAGGGGGCAAACATGTATGGCCATATTCCTGAATTAACAAGGCAAGTATCCATATAAACTAAAACCTGAGCACAATCACTACACAAGATTAGCCAGTTCATTGCAACTGAAAGGAAACTAACAATACGAAGAAAATGACTTACATCAGCATGTCGATATCTTATTCGAAATTTGCAAAAGAGAACATCGACAGATTGTTCCAAAAATCTAACCTGCAACATGCAACAAAAAAAATTCCTATCAAATAGAGAGAGAAATAATAACATTGAAGTATACCACTATTACAAAATAAAAGGAGCTTTAGCACAATACCTTTTATTTTATCTGACAATGATCCTTCATCTCAAGAAAGCGTTTAACCATAACTTCATTACAAAATTGTATTGAACAATTGTTCTTCACTAAAATATTGATTGATCTTCTCGATTATCATTGGCTTAAACTTTCTAGGAGTAAGCACATGACATGAGCCCCCCCCCATCAAGTTATTTCTTCTTACATCACCATGCTGGTTGGGAATGTAGTATGCAATCCTCTTTCCCTTTAGATCGATCCGTAGAAAGCTTGTTCAAACCAATAGTTCATGAATCTCGGAAGTTGTTAATTTTCTTGAAGAAGAAAAACCTCCCCCTTAGCTTCCCAGCAACTTTGAATGCCAAAAACTAATACGTTAAATACATTATCAAATCGCCAAATATCATACACAATGATGAAGTGTACTATGAACAAGGAAAAAAGTAATAGATGGTATGAATTAAATTGGAGTTTGTCAGTCTGGACTAGCCAATTTTACTTGTAAAATGAGAGATGCATACTAAATTTACATGTTGCAAAAAAAAGTTTGAACTGACCCGGTGCTCTAAATTTATACAAAAGTCAATGAGACTAACATGATTTGTAACCTAGAAATTGCAAGCGAACAAAAAATTTGGTAAGAAGAAACCCTAGAAGAACTGTACTATTACCTCGATATCAATTAGAATGAGGGAATTCCAGAATTGGTAGATCGGCTTCCATCATGGCGTCGTTGTGCAAAGCTGGGAGAGATGGGCAACGGCAAGTCGCCGATTGTCGGCGGGGAGCAGGCGACGACACGAGGCCGCAATCACGTGAGCGGCGTGGTATGGACGGCCGCCATCTGGTGCGTTTTTTAGACTACCCACAGTGGGAGTAACATAGATAGTAATATCACACATATCTAGATAAAATAGATGATGTGGCAATCAATAAATGAAGAAAGAGAGGCATGTAGTAAGGCTAGTCATAGTGGGAGTAACTTAGCTAGTAACATAACACATCCCAAGACAAGTTTGCTTATTTGGCACCTAGTTAATGAGGAGAGAGGTGTTTGGAGTAACATATTAGGCTGGTCATGGTGGGGAGTAACTTAGACTAGTGTCATGCATATGACACTAGCCTAAGTTACTACCTTCATAATGCAAAATAACATAATACTCGTATCTTAGATGCCTTTATTTATTAGCTTGTAGACTCATCTTATCTTGGAAAACGCTATGTTACAGTAGCATATTATGTTACCACCTCTCATTAATTACTTGCCACATAAGCAAAAATTTCTTGGAGTGCGTTATGTTACTAGCTAAGTTACTCCCACTATGACTAGCCTTATGTTACCATCACATAGCGCTTCCCAAGAAATGTTGAGTCTATAAGCTAATAAATGCAACCATATATGATACTACTTTTATGACACTTTGCACTATGAAGGTAGTAACATAGACTAGTGTCATATGCATGATACTGGTATAACTTACTCCCCACTATGACCAGCCTAACATAGCTAGTTACTACTAGTATGAGTAACATCACACATATCAAGGCAAGATGAGTCTATAGTCTAATAAATGAAGTGTTGTATGTTACTACACATATGTTACTCCCCACTATAGAGGTAGTAACATAGAGTAGTAACAAGGGCATTGTTACTACTCTATGTTACTACCCATTGTGGCTAGTCTTAGGGGGACGTCGTGTGCGTACGTGAAGCAGGCCGCAGGTGTCCATCAAGTTACGCAATCGGCGGGCTCGGGTGTAGCCTATCTCCTCTTAAGTCTGCTACTAGTTCTTTGATGGTGGGATGCATTTATAAATTTGGCGTATATGTAGCTCTGAAAAATAAACAAATAACTGGGCTAAGTGGGGGCAAATGTACTGGGCCAAGCGGGGGCACACTCAGATAGGCAGGACCAGTATATAAGCGTACGTAGCCCTCAAAAAAAGTATATAAGCGTACGTGAAAATCGAGTGGGGGCAGCTGCCCCCACAATCTTCAACGTGCGTCCGCCCCTGCCGAGGCCGGGCGGTGATGCGACGAGCGATGTCGAGGAGTTGCTATCCTGGAGCCCCGATGGCGGATGCAGCAGGTCGAGGCGGGCGTTCGGATCTGGCTCCAGGGGTGCGGGCCATGTGTGGCGCGGGTCGCGGGCGGTTGCCCTTGTCGTGGCCTCGTGCTGGCTGGGGTAGCGGCGCGACAGAGGTGGGCGCCCTGCTTCTTCCTCCTCTGCTTGTCAGCTAGGTGGGGCTTGAGGGCATGGCTGGTGGGTTCTCGTTGCGGCATGGTTAGATTTGGCTGGATCTGGCCCTGCTCGCCGGCGGGTGGCCCGGGGTGCTGGCAGCGGCTGGTCGGGTCGCTGCACGGATGTGGGCTGCGATGGCGTGGTGGCAGTCCATGGTGGCGGCGTGGGTCGTTTTGCGGCGGCGGCTGGACATGCTCCGGCGTCGGTCTGTTGGCGCTCGACTCTTGCGGATGTCCCCAATGTCCTCTCGCGGATGCTGGCGGTGGCCGGTCTGACACCTCGCGTCATAGGGCGGGTGGCTGGGACAAGCTAGGTGCGGATCCAGGCAGGGAGCTCCGGTTGGGTGCCACAGGGGGTGGCGTGTGGAGAGGTGGTGGGAGAGATGGGTGGCGCTGATGCGTTCGGGCCACCATCACCGGCGGGGGTGCCGGACGTCGACGGAGTCCGCTCCCGGTTCACCTCTTCACTGACCTGGTGGCTCCCCCATCGACTTGGTCGGTCCGGTCGCTGGTAGTCCTATCGACGGTCGGAGCTGAAGGAAATATGCCCTAGAGGCAATAATAAAGTTATTTTTATTTCCTCATATCATGATAAATGTTTATTATTCATGCTAGAATTGTATTAACCGAGAACTTAGTACATGTGTGAATACATAGACAAACAGAGTGTCACTAGTATGCCTCTACTTGACTAGCTCGTTAATCAAAGATGGTTATGTTTCCTAATCATAGACATGAGTTGTCATTTGATTAATGAGATCACATCATTAGGAGAATGATGTGATTGACTTGACCCATTCTGTTAGCTTAGCACTTGATTGTTTAGTTTACTGCTATTGCTTTCTTCATGACTCATACATGTTCCTATGACTATGAGGTTATGCAACTCCCGATTACCAGGAACACTTTGTGTGCTACCAAACGTCACAACGTAACTGGGTGATTATAAAGGTGCTCTACATGTGTCTCCGATGGTACTTGTTGAGTTGGCATAGATCAAGATTAGGATTTGTCACTCCGATTGTCGGAGAGGTATCTCTGGGCCCACTCGGTAATGCACATCACTATAAGCCTTGCAAGCATTGTAACTAATGAGTTAGTTGCGGGATGATGTATTACAGAACGAGTAAAGAGACTTGCCGGTAATGAGATTGAACTAGGTATCTCGGGCAAGTAACATACCAATGACAAAGGGAACAACATATGTTGTTATGCGGTTTGACCGATAAAGATCTTCGTAGAATATGTGGGAGCCAATATGAGCATCCAGGTTCCGCTATTGGTTATTGACTGGAGACGTGTCTTGGTCATGTCTAC